AGGGACCGGGTCATCAGGGTCACCTTCAACGCGGACGTGCATTCCAGCATCCAGTGGAACTTCAAACCCCAGCAGAGCGAAATCTACGTGAGTGACTTCGCCTTCCCTCACGCAGAACGCTTACACCGGGAGGCGAAAGCGTCGGGCCTTGCCTCGGACGCTTCAGTCAGCTGGCACCCTGACCGTGCAGATCCACGGGCTGCAGAGCCGGGCCCTGATCTGGAAAAACCCACAGCCGGGGGCGCATAGGCCAGGGCGCTTCCGCAGTGCCTCCAGTTACGAATTTTATATACACCATAAAGCATGTGTGTGTGTATATATATTAAAAATATATATGGTGTAGCTGTATATCTAATCCTGTGGGGTTTCGCCAGACTTTCCCCCTCGTACTTCCTCTTCTTGCCCCTATACTTTTAGGACTGGTTTTATATTTAAAAAAAAAAAAGGATATTTTAATCTAACTTTACTGTTCAAAATTAGTTAATAAAAACTCAAGAGGAGTCATGCTGCTTAATTGGTTTCTGAATCAGTACTGGAAGAATTATAACCTCAAAAATTAAGTGCACACCATATATAAATCTGCATAGTAAAAAAGCTCTGTCTGCTGCTAAACTGCTGAGAATAATTAAAGTCTTATTGGCAAACTGGGTGAAATTAAAAATGTACACATGTAACATTATTAGTGCTTTTAATTGAATTGTCTATAAGCAAAAATATTTCCAAAGCAGTGAAGTAACCAACAGCAAAAGAGAAAATGAACTAATTCTAGCTAAGGAACTAATTCGAGAAAATGAACTAACTCAAACTCTCTTTGAGGGGTGGAGGGCTGCAGTGGCTTAAAAATCACCGTGCAATTACTTTATACAGGTTGTACCAGGAGAGACGGCGCTGGCATTTTATAAAGCGAAAAATCCTACTGACAAACCAGTCATTGGAATCTCTACCTACAATGTAATACCCTTTGAAGCAGGACAGTATTTCAATAAAATACAAGTAAGTGCGAACAAAGCAAAGATTACATTTTCCTTTATGTGAATGAGAAGCGTTATCCATAAATTAACTTTTCTAATTTTAGTCCTGGATACCATCTTTGTATGCCAACATTTTAAGAAAATACCTTGATTTTTTCAAATGACAGTGCATGAGTTCATTCTTAACCTTACTGTCTTCATAACAAGCTGCAGTACATGGCCAGTCAGAGTGGCTCCCAAATACATGATATTTAGCACCACTGACTTTGAGGGCAGGTGGTAACGATGGGAGCTAACCTGGCCAATTTGCACATTTGCACACTTCATTAAAAGCTTTTTTTTTTTTTCCCCTGTAACACAAGAGGAACAGAATTGCTGTCTTGTTGCTCATATGGTTGATCCTTCCCAGGACTGTAGGGATGTACAAGGAATGAGAATGGATTTTAAAAGATGAAGCTTTCTCTCATGTTGGCAGAGGTAAAGTTTACCATAGCTGCTATTGTCTAATTAGTTTTTTCCTCCCCCATGCAGTGTTTTTGTTTCGAAGAACAGCGGCTAAATCCTCAAGAGGAAGTGGACATGCCCGTCTTTTTCTACATTGATCCAGAATTTGTAGAGGACCCTAAAATGGCTAAAGTTGATTTGATCACCCTCTCCTACACCTTTTTTGAAGCAAAGGAAGGACAGAAGTTACCACTTCCTGGATATCAGTAATGGGCAATCTCTACACAATTTGACTTCTGCTACCTGACTACCAGTTTCGAAACCATTTTTCAAAGGAGGGAGAAACTGTAGGAGTACTGTGCAATATGAAATTACATTATTAAACCACCATGGGCACATGCTGCCGTTATGAAAGGATGTATTTCTGTTTTAAAAAAAAAAAAAAAAAACAAACCCACAACCCAAACCCTTAAGTAGTTGGAATATTATTTCTTCGGGATAGCATTTCTTCATCAGACAGTGGAAGGGAACACACTGTCCCTGCAAGAGAGAGGGTTTTCTCAAGCCATCTTTTTATAAGATGATACATGTTATCTGAATACTGCGAGGCATATTTTTAAACCCAAGTGTAAATTGAGATCTTCATTTAAATACAGGGAACAAATCAGTTTTTTTAAGCATCTAAAATTGCATTGTTGGCTCTGAAGAATAACTTCTATGTAAGTTACTTTATAAAAAGGTAAACACAGGTAATCAGTTCATGAAATCTCAAAACTCAACAAAGTTAGACTGTATTGCTATGTAATGCTCCCATGGCACAGGAGGATATGATTCAGAAGCTGATGCACCCTCTCGAATTATTTACTGAATCAGTAGTTCATCTGGTAAGAGCAGACTGCTCTCAAACTGTTATCATTTGAATGAGGAACAGTAATTTAAGTGTAAGCACATCAAATCTGTGGTATGGTTTCCAAACACCATCTTCGAATTTTGATGTTGTGTTCAACTCATTTTAAGTATGTGTACTGCTAATGACTGCTCTTTCATGCCGCAGAGGGCTGTACACTGGGCACCTCTACACAGAGGCAAGCTCAGCTTATGTATGAAATGCTCTGAGGGGAAAGGCAATACATCAACAACTGCTCGAAACTGCAGGCTAAATTAATAGCGTAGGAGTCTCCTGAAAAACCAAAAGGAAACCAACGTCATTCCGAGATGAAGTCCAACAAAGCCTGCCCAGAAGCGTATCAGTTGTTCAGGAGGTACTCTGTTTACCATCAGAACACATAAGCCTGTATTTATGTAACTTTTGGTCATTATCTGTGAGGTAGGGATAATAACACTTTATGATAGCTTTGCAAATGAGGAGCGAGTTGCAGAGCAAGTTTAAGTGACCTACTCATTTTCAGACGGAAATTAATCGCAGCCCAGTATCTCATCTGCTAAGCCAGTTCTACCCCTTTCAGCAGATGAGATCTAACAAAATGAAACTAATGTTGGTTTGTTTGGACTCTAAAAAGGTATTAAGATTACGTTTGCATACCATAATTTAAAAAGTGCTTTTTTGAAAATAAATGGATGCTACCTTTAAAGTGCATTATTGTGCCAATTATATGCGTTGTTTACATAGGTTCTGGATGACGTTCACGTCAGGTCTTCACTGTGTATTTAATAAAGGTTTAAAACTCTTCATTCTTTCATCTCGCTAATGCATTTTATCTAGCAGAACATGTGGAGCCCGCATGAGTGAAATACATCTGTATGAAGATAGCAGCAAGCTTTATAATCTCTAATTCCAGTTATGCTTCAGGGGAGGGGAAAAAAAAGAAAAAAGATAAATCTTTGAATCCAG